AAACACTATATAATATATATATCAACATCTAAGATACTTTACAAGATGTTGTTTACTTACAAGAATCCCTAGTACTACAAGGTGGTGTTTGATCAGTACTCCAGTTATTACCAAGTCGGAAAGCAACAGGAATTGATGGAACATCCACTGAAATACTGTGAGCAACAGAAGAAAAATCAGCCAAGGTTCTAACCAAGATAATCTGGGGAACAGTACAGTGGCCAATCAATTGGAAGAGGTAAATATACATTCCAATGAAAAAAAAGTGGTCTTAAGAGAGTGTGTAAACTATTGTACAATATCCTTAATTTCACATGGCAGCAAAATGATGCTCACAATCATCCAAATAAGATTAGAGCCCTAGATGGAAAATGAGAGATGCTCAAGCTAGCTTTAAAAAAGTCTGAAGAACATAAGACATTACTGCCGATGCACGCTGGTTAATTGAAAAAGCCAAAGGATATCCAAAAAAGTAGACTTCTGAGCAGTGGTGGGATTCAATTTTTTTTTACTACCGGTTCTGGGGCTGGGGCTTAGTGGGCGTGGCAGGGGAAGGATACTGTAAAATGACCAGTCAGAGGTGGTATTTGCCAGTTATCCGAACTATTCAAATTTTCCGCTACCTGTTCTTCAGAACTGGTCAGAACCTGTGGAATACCACCTCTGCCTCTGAGTATACTGTGAACAGCCAAGAAAACAAACTGATTGATCATCGAACAACCCAATCTAGAGTTCTCACTCAAGGCACAAATGACCAATGTCAAATTATCCTACTTTGAACACATTTATGTGAAGATTCAGTTCATTGGAAAAAGACTCCAATGCTGGGAAAAGTAGAAAGCAACAAGGTGGATGGGCTGTTAGTTACACTCAGTGCACTATTGGGAGATATGAAAGAACAGGTTAGGGGTACTATGGAGAGTCTTGAAGAAAATCCATGAAGCCAACTAGGGATTAGAAATAACTTGATGATGTATATAATCTATTAGTTGTTGGGCAGTTCATCCCTGTGTCATTCTTCAAAGACCTCTACTTAACTTATTTATGTATGAGGGTCAACATTTCTTTTGCTATTTATGTTTCCACCAATTCAACGCTGCAAGCAGGCATTCCTCTTATTTCTTTGGCCCAGACTACAATGTAAGTGTTAAGAAGATGAAATACAAATGGGAGAAATCAGATACGCTAGTTTTTAATGTAGGGAGAAAACGCTGAATAGGAGTACGGAAAAAAGCAAGCATTTCAAGTAACAAAAAAGTGTGAATTCCACCCATAAACGTAGATCAATCCCACTCTGAAGGACAGGAAAAATACATGGTTTGCAAACAGTTTATTTATTTTATTTTATTTTGTCAATTGCTTAAAAGATAATAGGTATAAGTATAAACATAGTTATGAATACATGGATACATATAAGAAAAATAAAAGAAACAATAGGACAGGGACGGTGGGCACGATGGTGCGCTTATGCATGCCCCCTACACACCTCTTAGGAAAGGGGTGAGGTCAATAGTAGAAAGTCTAAGGTTAAAATTTTGGGGGTTTGGGGAAGAAACCACAGAGTCAGGTAGAGTATTCCAGACATTGACCACTCTATTGCTGAAGTCGTATTTCCTGCAATCAAGTTTGGTGTGGTTAACCATGAGTTTGTATTTATTGTGTGCTCTTGTATTGTTATGGTTGAAGCTGAAGTATTAATTGACAGGTAGGATATTGCATAAGGTATTCTGCAATGAGTAGAGGAGTGGAGAACTCTTCTTGTAAAATATTTCTGGACTTTCTCTACTGTGTTAATATCAGATATGTAATGTGGGCTCCAGACTGATGAGCTGTATTCAAGCATTGATCTAACAAATGTTTTGTATGCTCTAGTGTTATGACTTCCCTTCGAAATTCAAACGAACAAAACAGAAAGCAGCCGTTTCACAATTAAATCAAATGGAAAGAAGTCTTACAAGATAACGGCTGGCAGAAACCACAGCATAAATCTTTACTCTGTCCGGCAAACCAGTCCTGGCAGTAAATCTCCAGTCTCAGAGCTCCTTGTAACGTCCTCACTCAAATAGTCATTTTGTTCCTGGCAAAATGTACCAGCCCAGCTGTGTTCTTTTATACTCATTGAGGCAACGTGCTAATTTACTGACTTGCTCTTCTCATTCGCTCCAGCTGATTTTGCCTTTTCAAACGTCTTCTATTTTTTACATTTAACCACAAATTTTCCAAGTTCTCATCTCCACTAGAAGACTCTCTCAAAACTTCCCTGTCAGCCATTCCCGGCTGTTGATCAGATAAGGAACCAGAGGAGGTCAAAGGTCCTGACAATTCTAATACATCAGGTCTGTCGTCCTTTGTCACGTCCATCTCCTCATCCTGGTTATCAGTCCAATCAGTAAGTCAGGCCGGCTCATATTTTTCTGCGATGACCTCTTCACTTGAACTCATATCAATCACAGGAGCTGAATCCAAGCCCGGAGTCACAACACTCGTTAGTAGTGTGATATTACCAGAGAAAAAGCTACGTTGGATTAGGTTAACAACTCTTAATGTCTTTTTGGCTATGTAGTTACAGTGGGCTCTAGCACTTAGATCATTTGAGATGAGTACTCCAAGGTCCTTGACAGAGTTTGGATCAACAAGGTCTTGACTATCCAGCTTGTATTTTATTTTCTGATTTCTTTTGCCAATATGTAAGACAGAGCATTTATTTCTTGAGATTTGAAGTTGCCATTTGATCATTCTGATACATAGTCGAGGTCTTTTTGAAGGGTAGTAGAATTATCTGTGATGTTGAATAGCTTTACATTATCAGCCAAGAGAATGCAGTTGCTCTTAATATGATCACAGAAGTCATTTATGTACAGGTGAAACTCAAAAAATTAGAATATTGTGCAAAAATTCATTTATTTCAGTAATGCAACTTAAAAGGTGAAACTAATATATGAGATAGACTCATTACATGCAAAGCAAGATAGTTCAAGCTGTGATTTGTCATAATTGTGATGATTATGGCTTACATTTCATGAAAACCCCAAATCCATAATCTCAGAAAATTAGAATATTACATGCAATCAATAAAACAAGGATTGTACATAGAACAATATCGGATCTCTGAAAAGTATAAAGCATGCAGATGTACTCAGTACTTGGTTTGGGCCCCTTTTGCAGCAATTACTGCCTCAATGCGGCATGGCATGGAAGCTATCAGCTGAGGTGTTATGGAAGACCAGGATGCTTCAATAGCCGCCTTCAGCTCTTCTTCATTGTTCAGTTTCATGTCTCTCATCTTTCTCTTGGCAATGCCCCATAGATTCTCTATGGGGTTCAGGTCAGGCGAGTTTGCTGGCCAATCAAGCACAGTAATCCCATGGTCATTGAACCAGGTTTTGGTGCTTTTGGCAGTGTGGGCAGATGCCAAGTCCTGCTGGAAAATGAAGTCAGCATCCCCATAAAGGTTGTCTGCAGAAGGAAGCATGAAGTGCTCCAAAATCTCCTGGTAGACAGCTGCGCTGACCCTGGACTTAATGAAGCACAGTGGACCAACATCAGCAGATGACATGGCTCCCCAAATCAACACAGACTGTGGAAACTTCACACTGGACTTCAAGCATCTTGCAGTGTGTGCCTCTCCATTCTTCCTCCAGACTCTGGGTCCTTGGTTTCCAAATGAGATGCAAAAGTTGCTCTCATCAGAAAAGAGGACTTTGGACCACTGAGCAACAGACCAGGTCTATTTTTCTTTAGCCCAGGTAAGACGCTTCTGATGTTTGTTGTTCAGGAGCAGCTTGACAAGAGGAATACGACATTTGAAGCCCATGTCCAGGATCAGTCTGTGTGTGGTGGGTCTTGATACACTGACTCCAGCCTCAGTCCACTCCTTGTGAAAGTCCCCAACACTTTTGAATGGCCTTTTCCTGACAATCCTCTCCAGGCTGCAGTTATCCCTGCTGCTTGTGCACCTTTTTCTTCCACACTTTTCCCTTCCACATAACTTTCTATTAATGTGCTTTGATTCAGCATTTTAGGAACATCCAACTTCTTTTGCAATTACCTTTTGAGGCTTTCCTTCCTTATGGAGGGTGTCAGTGATGGTTTTCAGGTCAGCAGTCTTTCCCATGATTGTGATTCCTACTGAACCAGACTGAGAGACCATTTAAAGGCCCAGGAACTCTTTGCAGGTGTTATGGCTTAATTAGCTGATTAGAGTGGGACACTTTGAGCCTAGAATATTGAACCTTTGCACAATATTCTAATTTTCTGAGATTGTGGATTTGGGGTTTTCATGAGCTGTAAGCCATAATCATCTCAATTATGACAAATCACGGCTTGAACTATCTTATCTTGCTTTGCATGTAATGAGTCTATCTCATATATTAGTTTCACCTTTTAAGTTGCATTACTGAAATAAATGAACTTTTGCACGATGTTCTAATTTTTCGAGTTTCACCTGTAGAGTATGAAGAGAGTTGGTCCTGAAACACTGCCTTGAGGGACACCACTGTCAACAGGTACAGAATTTGATAGGACGTTTCCAATTTTGGCCATTTGTTGTCGGTTTGATAGGAATGCTTCTATCCAGTTATGCAGTTGTCCAGAGATACCGTAAGATTTAAGTTTTAGGAGTAGTTTGTCATGTACCACTAAATCAAAGGCTTTACAGAAGTCTATGTAGATTGCGTCTATTGCTTTGCCCTGATCGAGTTGTGTAGTCCATATGTTTTTGCTTCAGTCAGTTAGTTTCACAGTTATTATGAAACACAAATAATGCCCAAGTAAGGTGGGAAGCTATCACGGGCAACAGTTCAGCGGATAAGCCCTCCGTGGAGCCCCACGACTGCAACAGAAAACAAACCTGCCCGCTTGGCCGGTTCAACTCCGGGGATCGCTTCCAACTGACCCCGCCCCTGCAGTGGTTGCTCAGGCTTGTGCGCCGTCGTTAAAGGGCGTGGCCACGAGGAGGGGACGGGAGTTAGACGGTTAAGTCCCGCCTCTGGTTGCCACTCTCCGCTGGGAGTGGGATGGAGTCGATGGCGCCTGCGCCTGGAGTCGTCGTGGCAAACGCGTCGGAAGTTCCCGAGCCAACCTTAGCCAAGAGGCCCGAGAAGTCCGATGGTTGTGCGGGGACCATGAAATTGACTCGTAAGGCGGTTCTGTCTCGAGCGAAAGCTACGAGCCTTGCGGGAGTCCGCAAGCTCAATTGCTGGTGAGGAGGAGGAGGTGGCCTTTTATATTAACTGCACGGCCCTTGGCCGTGGTGGTTGGGATGCTGGTCGCTGTAGTTTCAGCAAGGAAGCTTTTGTTTGCTCCGTTGTCTTCGCAATGGGCACCGAAAAGTCGAGATTGTTTACCGAAAGGTCTAGTGGTGAGAAAAGTGTGCCTTGCACAATTATGCTAAAGGCTTTGCCCAGCAAAAAGTGAATTCCTGAAATCGTTGTAGACTCTCTTCTGATTTCTAAATCCAGAGTGGCTGAAAAACGAAAGAGTTCTTCCCAGTAACGATTAAAACCACTATGTAAAAATATTGATTATTAGTAATTGAAATGGGTATTATATCCCAATTCAATATCTTTATTTTGTGTTTTGCAGGATTAAAAATCACACTTCATTATCTGGTCATTCTTTTTTTCCCTCTTTCTCTCCTTTCTACCTTTCAGTTCATAGCCTGTTTTCCTTCACCACTTCTCTTTCCCTTGCATCCGTTGATCAAGTGTGTGGCATAAAAAAAAGACACCAAAACTTGACTTTGGTCCAGGGGGGAGCTATGGCCAAAAAATTTACCTTGGGTTCATTTATCCGTTTTCAAAATGAGTAAAGTTACATTATCCTGAGGTCATCTGGACCTGCCTAGTACTGTATATGGAACAGCCCTAAATATATTCAGAATTTGGCCAAATACAGGCTGATTAATATAAGCTATTATGCTTGACCATCACTCAGCTGTTCCTCTTTGAGTTCCATGGTTGCATATTTGTGATGAAACGCAGTTTTTACTGTTCAGGAAAAGGCTACTTGAAGTCGTATTTTTGTCCTAATTATCTTCCTGATGTCTGCAGACTGTTTATAAGACTTTTTTGGCTTCTTCCTGATGGTTTTATTTTAAATTTACATACTTTTCTTTTTGAAATTAGATAACATACATGTCTTATTACTATATCTCTCTGTATTTTTCTTTTCCTTCTTTTTCTCAACAATAGCAGTTCTTTCACTTCCTTCCAAAAATATTTTGAAGTTATCATCCAAAAATACCCTTCACTTATCTGCACCTGTCTGTTTTGTTTTCTTCAGTCTGAAATGCCTTACATTCCAAATTGTTACATACATTGTAAAATCAGTCAGAATAGAGACTTCTGCTTTCATTCATTCAAATTATAGATTTTCTGGGGATAAAGACTAGAGTGACTGCTCTGCTGTGATTACAGCACTGTTGTCTATAGGTCCTGTTTCTGTTTAACGTCTTTCCAGAAATGTAGGGTTCCCCATGAAATATTGGAATTGCTCTCTCCCATTATCATACACGTACTTGTTGGCCTAGCTACAGTATGGTTACGGATAGTTTGATTTGCACATAGATAGGAATTCTTTTACAGAATTGGAAATTTCAAAAGAAATTTGCATGGAGTAGTATTTGTGCACATATAAGCATAGGCATATTTGCAGAGAAGTCAGCAAAATGTATATAGTAAGCCATAAGTAGGCCTGCTCACTACAAACACAAAGGGCATTTATAGGGGGTTCTAATTGTTACTCCATGTATGGCTTTCCGTAGTGTGAATATCGCTTTAATTAATATACTATTTTATACATGTCTTTTAAATATGTTCTTCTTTTTTAGGGGAAGCCGTATTTCAGATGTAAGTATCATTTCTAAGTTTCTAATATGTAAGAAATGAAAATAATAGTTGGTGTATTGGTTCTCTCTCATAATCTGTTCCCAGTAGAGGATTGTGAATGGTTGTTAGCTATTTTCTGACTTGAGTGAAATCAAAAGATACTAAATCCAGAGAAAAAGCAAAGACTCAGTAGGTTCTTTGCCTCTTTCTCTTTGGAAAAGTAGATATTAGAGAGCCGAGGAGCTGGCAGTAGTGTAATTTTGAGCCACCTTTAGCTACAAGTACCTCATGCTGAAAGTGCCAGTGAGATAGGGGATTGACTCATCATTTGGAGATGTTATATCACCAATTTACCTTGCTTGATTGACAGTTTCAACAGACTTTCAGTTGCACTGTATATCTGAACTGTCATTCAGGAAAACACAAGTCATAATGTATGTTTGGAATGGGTTCAAGCCCTAGCATATCAAGGTTAAAAAAAATCTGCTTTTATATTCCAGAGCATTTTCTTAACCTTAGCAGCTTTAAGATGCGTTGACTTCAATTCTCAGGAGACCTCAGCCTTCCTCAGCTGATTGGAGAATTCTAGGAGTTGAAATCCACTCATCTTAAAGTTACCAAGGTTGAGAAATGTTATTCTAAATAATACCATTTTTAAATTCTGGAAAATAGCACCCAGTAATAATGTAGGTTTCTTTGAAATAGAAAAACTATAAATTCAACTGATCTCTTTAGATATTTGGATTCAGTGCATTTTGGTTTCAATTGACATAAGAATCTATTGTAATATGGAGCTTCTGTTACAGATGCTTAAATACAGTATTTCTAATTTATCGATTACATATATTTGTTCCTTTTCCTTGCAAGGTGGATTTTTTGTTAATATTTTGTTTTGTTTTCTTTTTAATCATCTAGATATCAATCTGCCATGAGCTTCCTAATGTTGAGGTGGTTACATTCAGGTATGTGTGAGAATGGTGGTTGACTAAATAAAAGCCAAGGAAAATCAGTGGTTTTTCTTTCAACATGGAACCTGAAAAGAAATCCTTGCTACCTCTTAAGCATTCAGGCATTGTGCATTTTTAATCATTGTGTCTTATAGAATAGAATAGAATAGAATAGAATAGAATAGAATAGAATAGAATAGAATAGAATTATTTATTGGCCGAGTGTGATTGGACACACAAGGAATTTGTCTTGAATTTTTAAGTTTAGCAAAAATTTCAAACTTCTTTCTATATATAATTGTTCAGTAAAATTCATATAGTGGTATTATTTTATTTTTGGATCATGCCTGTATAGTCTCATGTTTCTACATTATGTGCCCAACCTACTCCTTCAGCTATACTATACCCTCTTTTCTATGCTTTAAATTATTGTTATTTTTATTTAATAACACCAGATCACAAGTAAATTACAGCTCTTCATTTTCTTATCTTCATTTTTAAGTGCTTTGGTTTTATTGTATTGCGAACAGTTGCTGGGGTGCATCCAGTTTCGTTGTACTTGTACAATGACAATAAAGTTCTTCTTCTTCATTTCATTAACAAATTAACAATCCATCATTCAAATAATTCTTGAACACCCTGTTTATCTCTTTTCATATTTGTTGTCTATGTGTGTATGTACGTATCGTGTCAGGAATTTATTTTTGACCCCTGATCTCTCTGTACTTCATAAGTGCATATTATCATAGCTCTGTACTTGGATCCAGACTTATCTTCTTTTACTTTCTTTTTATTCAATGCATTTTAGTTACTGAGCCAATCTCTTTGTCTAGGTTCAGTAATAATAGCACTCAAGACTTGTACTCTCTTAGGAATTGAGTAATTTTGAATATCAGTGTGTGCAGTCCAGTGGTAATTCTGGTTTAAAATGTTGAAAATATAATGGATAATGTAAATGTAATGATCTAGCTATTTTTCTTTGTCCTCTTATTGTTCATGTTTTCAGATGTTCTATAGAATCATAAGAAAGGGCACAAACACATGTTTATCCAGCTGACCCAGGATTTTATGTTGCACAAAGAATTGTAGTTGTTAATGCTGGCCTTGTTTTCTTCTCTAGTGCAAATAATATCTACAGTCTGGAACCTTTTAACCAGTGCGAGAAGCTAACTGAGCTTTACCTCAGGAGAAACTGTATATCAAGCCTCCATGAGCTGTTCCACTTGAAAAAACTGCCCCGCCTGAGAATCCTCTGGATGTCTGAGAATCCCTGCTGTGGCTCTGATCTCCACCGCTACAGAATGACAGTTCTGCGTAACCTTCCTAGTCTCCACAAGCTGGACAATAAGAGTGTGTATAGCAGCACATTTCTTGGTGGTAGTGTGTGAGATGCTTAAGAATTGTGTAGCAAAATGAGATTTAACTTTGAATTAATATTTCTTTGAACTAATGATGGGAGGGTATTAATTTATTGTTTCATATGAAAACAACTTCTTGCCAAGAACAATTAGATATCTCTTTAATACCCTGGTGGGCAACCTTTGAGCAGTATGCAGTCTTCCCCAGCGTACCATCTGTAGCCCTCAGAGAAAATTAGGCTATTTTTTTTTCAGTCTTTCCTGTGGGGGAGTTTTGGACTAGGACAAAATGAACTCCACGGAGCTCACATTATATGGAGCTAAGAGTATTAATGTTATTTCACATAGCTTACAATTAAGCCCATGCTATTCTTTCCTTGTGTAAATAAATATTTGCTGTTGAAATGCATATTTAAACTTCAGAATTTTTTTTAAAAAATTGCCAACAAATTCTGGCTTCTCATACTTTATTCCTTCTCTAGTTTTATAAAATTTGGGACCCGTTTATTAATGGAAAAGTATTTTTGATAAATGCATTCTTTAATATATTCTTAGATTCAAATATGAAAAAATCCGTTAATTTCTACAGTTATCAATTCACAAAATTAACTATGTTGGAAGAATAGTATATAGCGAAAGGTTTTATAATTAAAGGAGCCTTCTTGTACTAATAAATACATCAAATATATTGACTGTATCAAACATACTATAGGCTTCAATTTAATATGAAGAGCCCTGATGATGCAGTAGTTAAAGTGCAATAATGCAGGCTAACACTGCCTACAGTCTGGAGTTGATTCTGAGGGGGCTCAAGAGAGTGCTTTAAAACATTATGAGGTACTATATAAGTGCTATTGCTATGACGAATCTGCTTAGAATACCTTTTTTTTAATGTTATTGCTCTAAACTGTTGAGAGTCCTCTAGGATGGGATGGATTCAGTGGTGGGATTCAATTTTTTTTTTACTACTGGTTCTGTGGACGTGGCTTGGTGGGTTGCGGTAGGGGAAGGATACTGTAAAATATCAGAGGTGGTATTTTCCCGTTCTCTGAACTACTCAAAATTTCCGCTGTCAGTTCTCCAGAACTGTTCAGAACCTGCTGAATACCACCTCTGGATGGATTATAAACAGTGTAAGAATAAATAAGTAATACTGCTCCCTCTGGCTTTTGTTTGATTTGTATAGTGGTGACAGAGGAAGAACTGTCACATGCACTAGTAGAAGGAGAAGAGATAACAACACCCCCAGTTAAAACAGATGTAGACAGCTGCTGCCAATACTCTAACACTGAGTCCAGCACGACAGAATGTACAACAGAAAATGAACTCATGAACTTCAGCACTGAACTTGAGGAGACAAAGTGAGGCGAGCTCTGTTATTTGTTGTTAGCATTTATTTTCTGGACTTAATTTATGAAGAATACTTTGTCCAACATGTGGTTCAATCTGGAGAAAAAAACAATTTCTCACTTTTGTAAACCAATAAATTGGAATATGAGAAGGGATTCCATGATTTTTAAGTATGCAGAAACATGTAATTTTTGGTGCATCTATATGGCCCTCTTTAAATATAGTGCTTTGCAAGTTACTTGTTAATAGAACCTTGCATTAAAGTCATTCTTTTATTTATGTTCCTCCTGTACAGTAAAATCCGTGAGCAGCTTGGTATGAAGCCTGTTGCTCCAAAAGATACATTTTCAGCCAAAGAAGTAGGTGGTAACCAGACAAAATGGGTGAGTATAAGAGTCTTCACCATCCCCAAAATCCATAGTTCTGTGTATTTTGGATCATATGATGTATTTGTCTTGCACTGAACAATTGTATAAAATCCAGGTAATAATCAGCTTAGCTTAGCTGTATTATTACAATGAAAAAATTGAAAAGAAAGCAACAGAAAACAAATGTAAAGAAGCTGAAGAAACAGTGACCATCTAGTTAGCTGTTACAAGACAACTCATTACAAACAATGGTATTGCAAAGTAGCAACAATAACGCATTGGAATATCTACAAGAAACACCAGTTGCCTACAAGCAAGAACTGGTGGGAACTTTGAAGAAGTAATAGAAAATGAAGGAACTAAAGTGCTTTGGGATAGACAAGCACCTGCCACATAACACCCCAGGTTTAACAATTGTCAAAAAGAAAGTAAAAAAAATACGGATAGTGAATTTCGCAATACCTGGAGGCAGCCAAATAGAAGAGAAAGGACTGGAAGAAATAACAAAATACAAGGACCTGCAAATACAGGGAGAATGATTGTGACAAAAGAAAGCAAAGATAGTATCCGTTGTAATAAAATGCCTTGGGTACAATCCCAAAGCATCTGGAGCACCACATGAATACCATCGACATTGATAAAATCTTCACTGTCATATACATCAAGTTATCATCATTATGGGTGATTGCAGTCAGACAGATGTTTAGACTGGTTTTGGCATTTTTATCCACCTATTGAGTCGTTCCCAAAGACATGAGATAGAGATGTTATTTGATGGTGTTAAAATTATTATTGCAGGATGTAAGACGTTCCAAGTAAACTTCCCCTTTGCAATTGACTGATGGTGATGATGTCAATAATGGTGTTCAAGTGATACTCAAGATTTTGTTTGGAATTGCACCCTATTACTGTCGGTACCTTGTTTGCTTTCCTTTGCCACAGTTGTTCCAATTGTATTGTGCTGTTAATAAATCTATCTTCTGTGAAATTCAATTCTATTCAAAGAATAATTTGCTTGAATATGTGAGAACAGATTGGAGAAAAACAATGAGGTACAGGTAGTCCTTGACTTTGAACGGTCTCTAAACAAATGGTTGTAAGTTACAATAGTGCTGAAAAAGGTTATTTACAAATTGTTTTTCATATGACTGTTCCAGCATCCCCCTGGTCACGTGATCAACATTCGGATGCTTAGCATCTGGTTCATATTTATGACAGTTGCAATGTCCCAGAGTCATATGATCAACTTTTGCGACCTCCTGACAAGCTAAGTCAATTGGGAAGCCATATTCACTTAGCAACCATGTTACTAACTTAACAATTGCAATGATTCACTTAACAACTATGGCAAGAATGATCACAGAATGGGAAAAAAGCTCACTTCACTTTAGGAACAGAAATTTTAGGCTCAATTGTGGTCATATGTCGAGGACTACCCATAGTAATAATAATAGGACTAGGCTATGATCTGCTCTGATTTTTGTTTTTTGTCGCCTTGACAGAATATCCTCAGTGCCATCATGTTACTTCTAGAAGAGCTGGATTCAGAGGGTTTAGAAGTCGTCCATCAAACAGTTGGACACAAACTCCAAGCCTTGCAGAGAAAGGAACTTCATGAGGATCGATAGCACATCCAAGGAACTGTTTGTGGATCAGCAAAATTTATTTCACCAGTCCTACTAGCATCCGTTGTGTGTTGTTGGACTTTCCGTGAGAATGGAGGATTTTGTACAGAAAAAAAGCAAGCACATCTTGTGTTTCATGTACTTAGAATCATGTTCTACAGTAATTTTTTCATCTACAATTTATGTGCCTACATTTTACAATTATTCCACCTTCCACAATGGCTGGCAGCAGAGATCGCAATAAGCACATATAGATTACGTCTATTTGTAGACAAAAAATTCTTATCATTTGGAAGAGGATGTACTTCATCTCTTGCTAGTGCCTTCCTGCTGGAAGAATCATGCCTAGACTTGTTTACTCATGCCTTTGTCAGACCAACCTGTGATACATCTGACTTGGTTAGCCTGCTGGCCTTCCCTAATATCCCAATATTGGAGCAAGTCTAAGCTTCATATCGTCATGTCTCTTCCTTTTCCTCCTCCATTAGCGTTTGACAATCCTAGCCTCAGAACCAGAATTTCATAAAAAGTTAAAATTCATAAAACGAAAATCATTGAATGTTTAAATTAAAAGCTTGAAGCCAAGTCTTTGCTGTCATCATTCCACCTCTGTTAAGTAGCTTGAAATTTATGAAGAAAAGTATCACTTGCAATATAGTTCCACTTACATTACATTTACGTCTTACAAATCTGAAGGTTTCCTTCAGTCCATGAAGTCTTCTAAAAAATAAAAGCTTCATGGAGGGGAGGAGGGTACAATATCAATGTGATTATATAAGGAAGCAGCATCAGACTCTGCTGAGCAAAATCCAGTGCAGTATTATTTGAGATACCGGATCCTTTAGCCTCTCTAGTCTGTCAAGCTACTTCTAGTGCAGGAACACCACTAGGCTATGAAATAGGTAAAAATTTCCTTCCATGAACATTGTTTGTCTAATGACTTGTGCTTAAAAATTGCATACCTTTTTGCTGATTATGGAACACTGATGCAGATCAGCATTTATCTCAGTATGGATAGGATTATCTGGTCGTAACTAGCTTGGTTTGCAGCAGGTTCCCATTTGTGACATGGGATTTCTTGTTTCTGCTAAAACAACATTTCTCCGCCAATGTTACCACACATATGAAAATCAATTTCTTTCCTATGCATTATACAGAAGATAACAATGGCTGTATTGGGAAAAATACCGTAATAAAATGTAATAGGAACAGGGTGTATGACAGAAACAGTGTATTGATAGATGGCAGCATGAACAGCAGAAAACTCAGGTTGTTTCAGAACATGAGAGGTTTGTATTCCACACATTGTGTCCTAAAACTGCTAAAGGCGTTTTTGCCAATGTGTTTAACCTACTAAGAATGTTGGAAAATTTATGATGTTTTGCTGTTTTATCACAGCACATTCTTTCCTTGTCTTGAGCTACTTATTCTTACACAAGCCCAGCAAAGAAATCTATCTTAATTCAGCTGGCTAGTTGCCCAGTACAGAAGTCTCTTGAACTATGCAGTGATTTTTTTCTAATTAAAGAAATTATGGTATTCAAGTTCCTAGACTATCTTCATGAATGCAAGCCTGAATAAACAATGATAATTCCCCCCCCCCCCAAAAAAAAAATTAAAACGGATAGCACTTGTATAGATAAGCAGTAAAACCCTCAAAGCAGCTGAGCTGAATTTTCTAAACTGGAACTGCCTCAATGTGGATCTCTCTACTAACATCACTGCTTTTCATGATGATCTTGTTGATTTATTTGTAAATCAACTAAAGAGAAAATTGTTAACTTTTGACATGAACTCTTTATTTGTTGCTTAGTGAAGTTGTCTTTATTCGCTATAGCATGAGCAACTGAACCAACCAGCTTTTTTTTAACATGGTAAGAAAAGTGCTTCAACACTAGCTTGCCCAACAACTTTGCTGTAATCTTAACAGAAATTCTGCTCTATTCTTTATACCCAGGTCCCTAAGAGGTGCACTATAGTCTCAAGTATATTCTCTCTCTTTTTCCCCTTTGCCCCCTTCCCCAAATCTACTATACTTTAATTCAAATTCTCATAATTTCTTAATTCTCCATGTAACAAAAATTTTACACCTAACAATCAGGTATGTCATGAGGATTGGCACCTATCTTACTGAAGATGATTTGAGATGTAAGAGGTTATGTTAGTGCATGCCAGTGTCATATTAACATATGTCACAGCACGTGCATACTTTGCATTTTCAACTAGAAGGATCAGATTGCAGTAATGGAAAACACCAATTTTAAAATAACAGAAATGTAGACAATTTCCAGTTAAATCAAATAATTGAATTTTGAACAAAGGCAGCATCTTAAATTCTAATGTCTCTTAATATGAAAATGTATACACTAACTTATATAGCTATAAGTTATCCTGCCTTCTGTCTTTTATTCAACACTACTTAGCAAGGATATTTCAGGGAACATTCATGTATGAATACAATCATGTATGGATTTAAAAACTGGTTAGCATATTACAACTTGCAGATCTGAGGCTAGTCTCCAACAAAAAACAATTTGAGCATATACACAGTTGATTCAGTGCGTGTTTTAATATCTCTACAGGACAGAAAGCAATGCCATGGACAAACAGGCAATACAGGGCACTGGATTCACAGAAATGCACCAGAAAGGTACAGACACAACACAGTCAAGAGCTGTGCCATCATCACAGACCAGCCAGGATAGTGAATTAAACACATAAGCCAGACAGAATGAAGAAAGGTATTCTGAGGAAAATGATGGCATACCAGAAACTCCCCCTGAGCACTCAGAAATGCTACCTTTCCCTGGTCAGCATGAACTACCTTGAAGGAGGGATGGGAAGAAAGACCTCTGTTACTGTTTGCTGCTCTATTGCAAGCAAGTTCCTTCTGCCAAGATAGATCTTTGCTGTTTGTCAATAGTGATGGCAACAGGAATTCTTGGTTGTTTTAGAGAATGTTCCCAAGGAGACATTTTGGGAAACGATTTTCTCCAAATTACAGGAAGGCCCTTTCTGAAAACTTGCATTCTTCATGGCACCGGGACAATAAGCACCTAGAGGTAGCACACCCTCCATTGGTAAGCAGTACATAATTCTAAGTAGTGTAGGAATGTTTTAAAAACTCTGTGAAATAGGAACACATTCTGTCCGGTATTACACCCTCTACTTCAAGGGGCAACAAAGAGGCTTGAGGAAGGATAAGTGAACCCATCCATGCTCCTCAGTGAGCAAGAAAGAACCTGTCGGGGCATGGAGTAATTCTGCAACAAAGGCAGGCTGTCTTCTGGCCTCACTCTTGTCGGCTTACAGTGGCATCAGCTTCGCACTTGAAAGGCATGAGAAGGCCAGAAAGGGAGAGAACTACATAGAATTGATCAGAGACATGGCTAAGGGAAGACTAGCTAGAATCCCTTCTCAATGCTGAGTGTACGCCGAGTGACGTGCTCCATCTTTCCAGACACATATTCAGTTAGACTAATCTGGTAGTGGGCCAGCATCTTCAGCATAAGGCGTAAATTCAGCCACCACTGCTCCTTAGGAAGCCTGTGTCTGCAGAAAAACAAACTCTGAATGAATACCAGTCTGGCATAGGTACAAAGCAGCTCTAAATATAGGCATGCCATGCCTCTCTAACAAACAATCTCAGAATATCTAAGTCATGGGCATAGCTACCAGTTAGACCTGTACATTCCTTCAGGCTGAAGAGAAAAGTAAATATATAACAGTCAAGAAGTACCACAGCTCACTTTTAGATTCAATATACGTAGTACGATTCTGGGAAGATCTTTAAATGGAATAATGTATCATGTCTACATCAGCAGACAGAAAGAAAATTGACCAATGAATGAACAAATTATCTGACATTCTATATGCCATACTTTCAAACATCAGTGATCCTTCAACAGAATTTTGCTGATACTCCACCAATATACTTACTCAAAATCTGTGACCTTTTTAAGCTCTGTCACAGGACTAAAGGACACAGTCTTCCTACGTAGGCCAATGACACAAGCAGATTCTGCAGAATTGGCAAATACTCGGCCTAGAGAAACAGAATATTTTTACTTTTAATGCAAGAAAATAATCTCATCACATAAATACCTTAGTTTTACATGAGGTATCTGGATATGTAATTCTGGATATTGCAACAACTACCATATGATTGAAATTTTCCTAAACCATTGCACTAATTTCAAGGAAAATAATTATATTATTTACCCATTCAAAACCAGCTTCATGATAATCATTCTGATAAGAATGATAAATCAATAGCTTTGTTTGAGAGCAAGTATTTCCACAAAATAGTTTTCAAGGTGATTAGCCCTATACAAAACAGAAATTACAGGCAGAAATAGGCAGTAAGGACAAAGCAAGAAACTGTAAATGCTGAAATATATCAACCTATATATGCCATAAATTTGGATGTACTTCAAGTCGACTTCATAGAAGAATATTGTAAATGATAGAATTCAAGTTTTGATTAAGTTCCTCATTCCCTTAATTGGAAGACACTGGAAATCTCTCTTAGCAAGTAGATCGCCAAGAATCAGAGCAACCAACCACAGATAAGGTGCCTCATAAGTTGCCACAGTAACACATCCCCTAAACCAGGGGTAGGGAAACTTGACTCTGGTTTTTCAGTTGTGGGGGAAATCAATTTTTGACTTGAATGGGACTGTTTAATATACAAATGTAGGAGTCCACAACTGAAAAACCAGTAGGCCAGGGATGGGGAACCTTTTATGGCTCACTCAGGAATTCTGGGAGTCCATAAGTGATAAAAGAGCCAAGTTTCCCTTGGGAGCATGCTATTTGTTGCATATTGTTTCACCTCCTTCTGCCAATAGGCTCTGAGCATCTTCTGTTGTTACAGGATGCAATGGCATCAATATCTTCTATAACTGAGATGATAATTATGACCCACCTTTGCGGTACACTTCCTTCAACTTTTCTGACATCCACAGAACAGCTTTTACACCCAGCTTGGTACCATAGTTGCGGTCAAAGGGGGTTGGAGCACCTCCCTAGAGATAGGAAAGTGAAAGTAGAGCCAAAAAAACAGCTATGCCAATCCTGTTGTAGGAAGAAGCTGAGTTGATGTATAGTTGGCTGGAACCATTTAACCCAGAAGCCTTTTTGCAAATATATTCTACAAAAATGGGAAATGGTTAAAAGCAGCAAGGAGTAGGCAGGTGCAAGATGGTAAATATCTATTAATTCTACAGCCCTGAACTGAGGAAACTCTTACCAAATATGTATTTTCTTGATGACAATGGACACCGATTGTTAATAAATTGTGGTGGGCCTGGGATGAGGAGAGTATGGCTCTCCTGATCCTGCTTGATCTCACAGTAGCCTTCAGTGCCATGAATCATGGTATCGTTCGGGATTGCCCAGGAAGGCCTCAGAGGGGGTTACAGTTTCAGTTGTTCTCCTCCTCCTTCTTGAGTAGATGGTTCCATTTGATAATTGCAGATGGAACAAGAGATGTTTAATAACTATGGGTTAT